TGTGACTTTAGGGTTTTGGAATTTCGAGTTTGGGGTTTAAGGTTTGAAGGTTTAGGGCTTAGAACAGGATTCAGGGATTACAGCAGAGTTTGGGATTATAGTTGTGTGTAGTATAGGCTTTTTCAATAGGGTTCAGGGATGCTGGGCATTGTCCAGCCTTCGCTTGCCGTGACTTCCAGACCTTGGGTCTCCAGGGTTTCTCTGACTTTTCAGTCCAATCAAGTAAATCTCTCCCGTTTGCTTTGCTATACTAGACTACTATACTATATCATACCATGCATTACCATACCATACTATACTTTTACTATGCTATGGAACTAAGATCCAAAGCCTGCCTAGTGCCAGAGCGAAGGTGTAGAAGCCGTGCCTGGCAAGCGCTATGCTTTGCTGACGGCATCTTGGAAAGCATCGGAGATTGTGCGCGATGTGTTGTTTGGTGCTGTGACACGAAGGCCATGGCTCCAAGTATCCCAAGGTTGGTATGATTGATAAACCCGAAACCCAGATAGACCCTAAACCCTAAACCCATCTAAACCCCAAGTAGAGCACGATGTTTATACTTGGAGCTCCAAGTTCTCGGTGTTTATGGATGCCCGGGAAGGCCGCTCAGGATTCTCACGCAAGTCCAAACCCCTTGAGGCATGACAGAAACTTTCGAGATCATTTTTGTAAAGTAGATGCATCCGCATTTTGAGAGCAACCGAATTCCTTGTAAAACGATAAGGGTTAAACACAACGATAAAGAATGTTCGTAACCTCAGCTCAGATCATACAGTCCCAAAGTCCTGTAAAACCATAAAAGCAAAAAACGATAACCATGTTAAGGGTCAAGCAAATAATGGGGCGGGGTGTCACGCACCCTCGTATGAACGCTTTCAAGCTCGCAAGCAACATAAATCCAGGTTTTGCATGCCTTGAAAGCACGAGGCAAGTAGAAGTAACAAAAAATGTGGGTCCTTGTGAACTTCTATAGTCTAGACCCTGAATATTAATTCCAGCTGGGGCTCAGGGTTTGGAAGTTTAGGGCTGTTGAAAACCTGAGGACAACTTGAGACAAAGCTTCACTACTTTTGCCGTGCATCCTGCAGCACGAACTGGCGAAGTCATAACGTGGCTGGCGGAGCCTTAGTCGCAGCTGCTTGGGGTCTAGAGCTTGAGGGTTTAGGAGAAAGGAAGGGGTTTAGGGTTCCGCATGCCTTGGCGCAACAGTCGCCGCCTAGGTAGTAAGTAGCAGTACTTGTGGCGATCTTCAGTATTATAAAACAAAAACACAACCCTCCAAAACCCTAGTTCCTTGGCAACGTCCTGAACTCCTAGGGCCCAAAACCCGAAAAGCTTGAGCCATCAGACCTTACATGCTTCAAAGACCCGAAGCCGCTCAAACAACAAAGCCACGGGTAGGGCAGAGCTTGGGGTTTGTGATGTAGGTATGAAAGCAGAGGAGCATTGCATAGCATCAACAAGTATATGGTAAATCTTGTCGCCGTCGAGCTCATATTGTTGTCATTTGTAGTAGTTGCAGTAGTTGCAGTAGTAGCAGCAGTAGTAGTAGTAGTAGTAGGAGGAGGAGGAGGAGGAGCTTCAGCAGCAGCAGTTGCCGTTGCTGCTGCTGCAGCTCCTGTTGCTGCTGCTGTTGCTGTTGCTGTTGCTGTTGCTGTTGGTGTTGGTGGTCTTGGTGCTGGTGCTGGTGCTGGTTCTTGCGTTAGTGTTGGTGATGTTGTTGTTGCTGTTGTAGCTCTTGTGCTGCTGCTGCTGCTGCTTCTGCTGCTGTTGTTGTTGTTGTTGTTCATTTTTGTTGTTGTTCAATGTTGTTGTGGGTGTTGGTTGATCTTGTTCATTGTTGGTTGTTGGTGGTTGCTTGTGGGTTGTTGGTGTTGTGGTTGTCGTCGTTGCTGTCGTTGTTTTCGCTGTTGGTCACGTCGTCGTCGTCGCTGCTGCTGCTGCTGGTGGCGGTGGCAGTGGCGGTCGTCGTTGTTGCGTTCCTCTTTGTCCGGCTGCGACGCCGGCTCCTAAACGCTGAGCCTGTAGCCCAACTCTGAACTGCCCTTAATAACAAGGCTTCATCTGAATGCCCAGTTGAAAGATCGAAACCCGATGGAGTCAGAGCTCAGAACGCCCCAGTCCGCAGAAGGATTTCCATGGCGCCTTTCAGGGACGAGTGCCCAGCGGCCACGCTCTTTGGGAGTTTGGTGCTTAATCTGCATACGATGTAGTATCGGTCAGGGTCTCAAAGTGGCAATTTATGCGGCGGCTTCAGGCGAGGATGTCTTGTACAAGTTTTGAAACCACCGAAGTTATAAAACAAAAGGTATCCACCGAAGTTACAAAAAACAAAAAAAGGTACAGGCTCCAGGGAGAGGAGATCTAGGGCCCTGTAGGCGAGTTGCAGGGTCTCCCATATCGGATGGGTCTGTTTGTCCTGATTCATCGCCTACTCTCGGGGACTATCTAGCATCCTGTTATTCTGGTGAGTTCCGAAGTCAGTTCTGAAGTGCCGGAATTTTGTATCGACTTGGAGAAGAGGCTCTTGATCCTAAGCCCCAAGTGCCGCAAACCCCTAAAACAGGGGAGGCGTTTTCGTGGTGGTTCTGTTGCAGCCATAGGAGAGATCTGGCTTTTGGGCCTCCGGTTCGATGCTGATATCTTTAAGATACCACAATTACTACAAGATACCGGAGGTAGGTACGATTTAAGATGCCTCAAGATGCTATAGGGTTCTAACAAGATAGTATAAGGTCGCGACTTTTTGCCGCGACTAAGGTACGCATGTGCACTTGGAAAGGCGTCCACCGGGAGAAACTGACATGCTGCCCGCAAGCATTGCGAGCTTCAGCAAAGCTTTCGAAGGCAGGGTTGCTATAAGATACGATAAGTTCATATAATATTCTATGAGATACTCTAAAAGATACATTCCGCATTTTTTTTGGGGGGAGGGGGGTGGAAATAGAAAAGGGCTTTGCCAAGAAACCTCCATGAAGTATTGAACTTTCTGGCGTTCTGGGACAAGGGGACAAGCTCTTTCAGGGGACATCTCGTAGTTTTGCGAACAGGTCGAGGGTGTATCAAAGTCCGGTTACCAGGAGCCTTAGGCTCAACGAGACGAGTTAAGCCTTCCATCTTATTGCGCGAAACTCACCGGAGGAACTTATGTTACGGATGGGGCTTCACGGACCTGAGACTTTGTAGATAATCCAACATATCTAGTATACAATGCCATTTGTCAGAGCTTATAATTACAAACGTCGTTAATCCGCAAACCGCGACGTGCCAGGCATTGACCCGTTCTTCGCACGTCCAGAGGCTCATCTGTTGGAACGTCATAAGATTTCATAGACGGGTGCGTGATGTTCGAGTAAAGTGAACATGTGTGCCAGTCAGCCCTCGAAATCAGGGTTGCCTCCTACGCGTTAGCCGTAGGGGCTTACGAGAATGCATCGCGTCGGGAACTTCTACTGCGGACACAGATCGAAACGTCGATCGAAGGCTTATATAGGACTCTTTGGGGATCAGACGTCCTGTCTGCGATTTCAGCGTCTTTGCCCCTGCAGGTGTTTTCGTTCTGATTATTATGGGGTTGCACATGTGTGGCTTGTAACTTAAGGACACTCCCCGGTATTGAGTTTCTCGTCTCTTCGTCGGACTGCGTCTGTCCTCAGCAACGCCGGAGACATAGAGGGCATGGGTTCTGGGCCCTGAGAGCCTGTGGCCGCGTCGGTGCTCAAAAGGACTGAGGATTTCGGCTTCAGTGTTTGGGCTTGATGAGGTTTGGAAGATCCGAAGCGTAAAAGAGGGAGAATAAACCTAGAGACCCGGGAGCCTTCAGGTTCAAGCTGCTGGTATCAGGAGTCTCAGTGGGGAATCAGGAACCAGAGTTCAGGCTTCTATTCGCGAAGACTAGACGAAACAGGTGGCCTCATTGGGAGAGCGGCTTCGAAACGTGGCGCCCCTTGTGGCAAGGCACTTGACCCCAAGGCGGGCAATGTGAGCTACAGGTCCTGCTGCTTTTGCAAAGGGCCTGTTTCATGAGGATGGGAGATGGTGGTGTGATGATGAGTCCGAAAGTGGGTGATACGTGCTAGCCGGGTCTGAAGTAGTAGTGGTAGTGGTGGTAGTAGTAGCAGCAGCAGGAGGAGCAGCAGCATTTTCATTGCTCAACCTGTGTTTAGTTTGGAGGTGTCGAGTTCTACTTGCGCAAACAGTAGGGCTCGCCCTGTGGCACAGGACCCTGGAGCGTCACTGAACCCCACGTAGCCTCCTAGACCGAAGCTCTTGGTGCAGTAGCCAGAAAAGTATCGCATAGCCCCGGAGCTTCGCAGCCTGCGCCCTTAGACCTTATCATATGTGTGCTTGGGTTTGCGATTTTACAATGCGGGGTCATGGTCGCAGCGGAAAGTTTTCGAAGTGGGGGCTTGACCTTGCTTCCCCCGATCCAAGCAGGATTCAAGCAAGCATCGCGTCACTGCACCGCCCGACAGGCCGCAGAACCAGAATCGCACGACTCTGGTGCATGGAGAGACTCGTGCACGAAGGGATGTACTGACAAAAGTTGATGAACATGGACATGACGAAGATGTGCCCAGGACCCCAACTAACAACCATGCTGCCGAAGATGTAAGAACTGCCGTGTTTATGGTAACGGCAACAGTAGTCATTAGTGGTGCGGGCGGTGGTGGTTGCAATAATGTTGCTGGTCACTCCACATCGTCGTCATTGGCGGAATAGTGCTTGTTCGCACATTACACGAGCAACCATGACTGCTGTGTTAAATCAAGGGTTTGAGGACCACCAGCTTACCAGACCAGTTTCCTGTGTAAGAGGTCCGTTTGTTCGCGGTCTTGTCGGGTAGCAATGAGAAGGCAAGCCTATGCTAACATGATCAATGATCAGTTGGGGAGCGATCGTCGTCGTGCTGACCGCCACCAAACTATCGCTGTTACTTAGTACTACTACCGACATTGCATTCTGATGAGCGCTTGTTTTCTACGGTTTCACCAGCCGAGGATTTCAAGGGCGCGAACTACTTCCTCCGGAATGAAGGCCAGCGCTAGCCCTCTGCTGAGCCAGAGCTAGCCTGTGCTGCAAGGTCAAGTATATGGGCTGCAGCGGTTCTGGGTTTGGGGTCTTCACTAAAACTGGGGGGGGGGGGGGGGGGGGTCAGTCGCGCCACATGGATTCGGGACAGGCGCACATTGCATGTTGATTTCGGGGCGGGAGGCAAATGCAGACAGAAAAGAGCCCAGACCTGAAACTACAGACAGTGCTGCAACTTACCGGAAGCCAGGGGAGGGGGTCGCGGCCATTGACTGGCAGTGGACTGGCCCGGGCATAGGTGCGACGGAATCCGGGACTGAAGAAAGTTCTAGGGTCATTGGGTTTATGGTTTAGATCTTGAAGGGCTCAGAAGGGCTGATGAGATCTCAGCTTGTTTCGGGTTTGGGGCACTGAAACAGGCCTTTGGTGGTGTATTCAGGATGGCAGGATCCAGGATGAGGTTACACCAGATTTCGCGCTGGAGGGTTTGAAGCCGCAGTCGCGCTTCAAGATCGGTGGTCACGTGACTGTAATCATGATGTGGCTAGAAAACTATGTTAAAGCTTGTTAGAGTGCCACACAGCTAGGGGAGCTCTGCACTGCTGGTTCTCCTTTTGCTTGGCTTGAAGTACCCGACAAGCTCGGGAATTAAGACGCCTGAAAAGGTGAGGGTACCTAGACCCTCCATCTACCCTCTAAAGACCCTAAATACCCTTAATTTGGGACCATACACCCCTATTTGAAGGTACTTGGAGGGTCCTGGTAAAGCAAGTTTAACGCCCCCAAGCTGAGCCCTCCGAGGACATGATCTACCTCTTTTGCGGCAGCGTGGAGGCCCCTCTTATGAAGATAAGTATAATATGTAAGGGCCTATTATGAATAATTACCGAGACTATTTTTGGGAGGTTCCTTGTTATAAGTCTGTTATAATGGCCCCCGACACCCTATTCCGACTATTATAAGGCCCCTATAGTAGCTTAATCGGTCGTCATCATTACTAGGACCTTATGGGGTTTGTTTTCAATTCCGCGACTTTCTTTTTGTCACGCATTTCCCAGATTTCAGGGCTCTTAAGCTTATAATGACTCAGATTTTGTTGTCGGATGTTTTTGAGGGTTTCCGTCGCGCCGACTGGTGCTGGATTGGGGTCTGCTCATGAACTAGCTTGGTCTCCACTGTCCGTGCACTAGCACTAGACTCTGTAACGGACAGGACCACGAGCAAGGAGCGGTCCGAACTCTTTTTTGGTCAGGGTTTCGGGCCTCGTGGTCGCTTCTGCACTACGCTACACGTCCTGCCCGTGGTCGTCTTTCCACCTCTGCTTCTGACGGTTGCTGACAGGATGAGATTGTCGACAACTACAAGCAGCTAGCTCCAACAGCTGCAGCTTCCAAATCTGCAAACATTTACGCGCACCGACCCCAAAACCCGAACGTGCGCAAGTCCTGAACCTTGACGACAATAGTCCCAATCTTATCCTCAAGATGCTGTTTGCAGTGCCCACAGCCCTGCAAGCCTTAATTGCGCCCACTCAGCATCGGGGATTTACACACCTCCAAAAAAACGGGGCACCTAGACTTGGCTGAGAGCACTCTAGCTGCGCTTTATGTATGGTTTATCATGTGCATCATGACATGACGTTGCTGAATTCTACTTGTGCTGGGGAACGAACTTCGCTGAAGGAATGCAAAGTTTGAGATTTCAGACAGAATACGCTGCTCGAGCAACCTTTCAAGCTTGAGGTATTGGCTCGCGCAGTACCACAACAGGCTTGCTGATGAATCGCATCTTTGGGCAGCAAGTTGTTGACCCTTCACCTGTACCTTTCTTCCACAAGGATGACCAAGGTGCGTTCGAAAGGCACACGCGGAAGAGCCTGAATCCATCATACTGCAAAAAAGCAGCAATCATTACCCTAATGTCTTGTGCATTCCCCAAATGGCTGGATGCCAAACGTGAGCAGACAAGGTATTCATTCGACGATTTTTACATCGACTTCAAGGCGGCAACACTGGACTATGCCCGCTGGGCCTTGTGGCAGAATTTAGTTCCAGGGCGACTTGCGTCTCTGTGTGCTCGGCATGCTGTATTGCCAGCACAACGAACAACGAACGAACGATTTAGCATTGTCCTTGCTGGCATCATGGCCAGGAGCACAATGCAACTTGAGTGTTTAGCTTATCTTATCATGTACCACAGAAAGCAGAACTGGACCAGTAGTACGGTGCGGGAATTTGGTGTTTTCGTACGCCTGGTCGTACTAGCAATCGTCGTCGCAGTCTTGGTCGTCGAGGTCGTAGTTGTAGCCATGGCTGCAGTCGCCGTCTTCGTGATACTTCGTCTATAACAACTACTGCTAGCGTTCTCCTGAATACAAGGACTGCCAGCAGTAGCATTGGTTGTTGCCGTCCCAACAGTTCTGAAGGCAACGTGCCGGCAGTAGTAATAGTTTATGTTACGTGAAAGCAATGAGTTATACGGTTTCCTGAACAACGACCGTAAGTTCCAGAATGGGTGGCAAGTTATTGGCCGGTAATGGCATCGTCAACAGCGGAGAGTGAATCACCAGCATTGTTGAATTCGCCATCGGGCCCAAACCGAAGGTCCAGCATCTGACACATGCTCAACCTGCCCCGCATTGTGAAATCATTTGGGTGTCCAACTAGACTAGACCGCTTAGACTTGTTCCATCGGGTCGGCATGCCAGTGGACTGCAAGGAGCTCATGCAGTGCTAGCACCATGAACCCTAAACCTATGTCCAGTCTTCTCTGCCTTGTGCGAGAGTGAAAGTCGAAAACCCTAAACTTAAACCCCAAACCGTCCAAGCAAAAGACATGACGTGAGATTGGCTCAAGTGAGTGCCTGTAGGACAGTCATGTCACCACTCTGGGTGATGCTAAACCACAAGAGCCTCCAGCCGGACTCCAATCAGAAACCCCCCCCAAAATTAATTCAAGTTCCCAAGAAACCCTAAACCCTGAACCTGCTTACAGCCCAAACGGCTACCATACCTCATTGCGCCATCCCTTTTCCAAGGCACATCGGATCGGGACATGCGGATCAGTGTTCAGGAGTTGTCAGGTTTGCAGGTCCAGAACGATGATTTAGGCATGGGGTTACCGGGTTGAGTCGTCATGAAGCTGCTTCCATGCTCTAAAAGGATTCATGTAGGGAGGGAGCCGGGGCAACTTACGCGGCAGAGCCCATGTACAGTACCTGCCTTGACGGGAATCGTTGATCGAGTTGCCTTAACCCTATGACACGGGATTGTATCCTACACGGAGTTCGGGAGTAAGTTTTGGCAACCCATAACACTTTGCTGTCGGTTGAAGTCAACACACATACCTACTTGCATGAGGCTTCGAGAAGCCGCTGAAATCCCAAAATGCCGGCTCAAGTTTGTTGGCCCAATTTGGGGGGGACCTTCGACACAAGCAGCTTGGAATCTCGAGGCTCAGCATGGTGACGGCAGCACCTCAAATCGAGTTCTCCTTCCATGACGGATCTGCAGTTCTGGTAAACAGGAACAGCTTTCTGGATGTGGATGTCGTCTCTCGTGGTAACCGTCGCTCCCAGAGCACTCCTCCGCACGCAAGGTACGAGGATGTGGTAGAGGCCGCGATTAACGAATCCAAGCCATTCACTCGCATGCTGAGTGGGAGCACCGTGAGTACCGACTATCGCGACTCTCGGGTGCTGGACCATGTATCGTTTGACTTCGTTTCGCATATACAACCATAGTAGTAATAAGTATTATATGATGCCGTGCGTCTTCAGCAGTAGTTGTTTCATGTCCCATCCTGCAAAATCCAGCAGCCCATGGTACGGAGAAGTGCACCTTGTTGTTGTAGCTCGGTTTGCACCCAGGCTGGACTACATACTCGCCATGTCTGTGTACACTCGCGAGCTTTTGGGGTAAAGCTAATTAGGCCGGGGTTCCTGCGCCATACTTTGTCCTCCGTTGAAGCGATGTGTGTGGCCCGCTTTTCCAACGATTGCGGGTTCGCGTTTTGGTTACAGGGGATTATATACCCTAAACACCACAACCCGAAAGCCCCAAACCCTACGCCCTAAACCCCGAACCCTAAACCCTCTCTCTCTAGATAGATAGATAGATTGAAAGATAGATAAATAGATAGATAGATTGACTGATTTTTAAATTGGTAGATTGGTTAAATAGATAGGTAGATAGATAGGTAGATAGATAGATAGATAGATAGTTATATATATATACACATATCCTAAACCTTCCTAAATCCTAAACCTTACATCCTAAACCCTAAACCCACCTAAACCCTAAACAAGTGTCCTGGGAACTCAGCAGCCAAGGACTGCGAGAGCCGGGTGGATTCGGAGTTCGAGCGCCAGACGACCCCGGACTCGCCATGCTCCGCGGACTCGGACCGGGACGACCCAGACTTGGAGGTGCTTTAGGGTTGAGGGTTTAGGGTTTATAAGGCTTATAAGGTTCAGTTATATGGGACTTTCTGAAAATAAGGGGGGGTACCTTATATTGAGGGTCCTTATATAATAAGGGCTTATAAGGCTTAAAAGGTTGAGTTGTACGGGAGTTTCCGGAAATTAGGGGGTACCTTATTCTAGGGTCCTTATACTAAGGATCCTACTATTTAGGGTACTAAATTAGGGTCCCCTATTTTCGGAAACCCCCCGTGCCGTTGGGGGTGGGATTTTAGGGCTGGGGGCTTCGGATGCTTTCACAGGCGATAAGGGTTGACTTGGGGGTAGGGTAGGGTTTGGAGGGGTTAGGGCTTGGAGGTTTTCAGGGCCGTTTGGGGTTTGGGGTTGACTTGGAGGTATTATAGTGTTCTGGGGCTTAGGATCTTATGAGGGTTTCTGTGCGCTACTCATATTGGGTTCCGACCCGAACATCGAGGACATTAGGGCAATTATAGGCTGTCAGGGTTTATAGAGCTTTAGGCTTCGACCCGAGAGCTGGAGGACCTCCACACGGTCATGATCAAGAACATCCCATGCCGCTGCAGCGCAGAGGAGGTCTTGCGGGCGGTGGATTCCCTGGGCTTTGCTGGGACCTATGATTTCTTCTACCTCCCAATGAACCGGCGACACAAGCAAGGGATTGGGTACGGCTTCATCAACTTCATTGAGCTCGGGACCGCTGTGCGTTTTAAGGATGCCATTTGGGGCTACCGGTTCCCAGGGCGAAGGAGCACCAAGCAGGTCCAGGTCGCCGCCGCTCAGCTGCAGGGCCGTGCAGAGGTGGAAGCTTATTTCAGCTGCACGCAAGTGGTGCACACGCGTTACCGCCCACTCATGTGATTGTGCTGACTCTGACATGGCAATGCCAGCCATGTTCAGACCACAGCACCATCAATGATGCAACGTGGTTTCAAGAGTGTTTCAAGTGTCGTTGGCAACCAGATTTGAGAAATCTTCTCCCGTGCTCAGACCGATGCTCCCCCAGCGATGTTGTTTTAGCTACAAGCGACGGGGCTTCAGGCCGCATGCGGATGCCAAGAAGGGGTTAAGCCGCATGCAGATGCCGATGCCCGTGTCACTTTAAATTTGAGCAACTAACAATCTCCAAGATTTGATAACAACCCTTCGCAAAATGCTAAGTCCTCTGGGGAAGAAGAGTTCGAGATGCGAGACACTCGGGTAAGGAGTATGCACTAAGCGGCTTCGAGCTTTGAGGGCTCTCACGCGGAAGAGAGATGCGGGCGGAGCTCCATCTTTGAGCCGTTACGGCAGCTTGACCGTGAGATGTGTGCCAGTTACGGGTTTCCTGGAATCCGCTGGAGCTCAACTCGATAGCATCTAGGCCGTCATGGTGCTTACAAGAAGCCCTTATAGCCTTATAACCCTAAACCCGAGTTTGTTGGGGGTTTCGGTTTTGGTGTTCATAAGTGGGGTTATAAGTTAGAAGTCCCCCAATATATGCGTTGTACTTGTAGGAAGTTACCCTACCTATTACAACTACCCGTGAACCTCCAAGTGAGACCCCATTATTAATGAATTATTGAGGCCACTTATTATACAACCCTTCTCGTGTCCTTATAGATCCCTTTCAAGGAACCCTATTCTACTCCTTCCGGGCTTTGCGGAGTCCAGTGAGGCAGTCTCCGTCTCGGAGTATGCGAGGAGTGAATTCGTTTCTTCTCGTTGTGGCAACGAATTGGGCCGAGTTTGGGGTTTAGGGTTTAGGGCGCTGATCAGCAGAGTCTAGGTTCAAAAAGGGCAGACACAAACCATAAGGCACAGTAGACTTCAGCCGTGTATTATGGCGCACTATAGGCTTCAAACACTCATTCAGCATTCAGATCTTGAAATTTGCTGTCACAATTCCCCACGAGCGGGAACACTTGTTTCAGCTTGTGTGCACCGCAATGAATACGCATGCACATGAGAGAGGCGTGCAAGCTCCCATGTCCTTGGCAGAGGGTTCTTGCAACAGTCAAGCCGAGCTTGGATCCACGGGGCTTAGTTTGTTTGTTGCCGGCCCGTCAAATTGAGCCGCTGTGCTGGGTCCAACTAGTATAGTCAGTGGTAAATGTGTAGGAACCTCACATTAAGAAGCCTGAACCCTAAACTCCTATAAACCCTTACACACCCTACGAAACCCTGGCCCTCTGACCCCAAGATATTCGGATTCATATTAAGAACCCTTATCAAGGCCCTGGGTTTGTTAATCAGGCTCCTATACCAAACCCCCTATATAACCCTACAGTACCCTTATGGAACCCTTTGTAGGAACCTTGAAAACTAGATAAGACATGAGGTGTTCCACTTATGGGGATACTGGGATACTCCTTGGATTCGACCTTGGCCCTGGCGCTCTCCAGGTGCTGTGGCTGGTACATATATGATCGGCTGCAGCGTTCCATGTGCCAAAGTACCGTAGCAGAAAGGTTTGAAGAGGGTTGACTGACATCTGCAAGGTCACAGGCGGAGGCCAACTTTTTGCTTGAAGCCTCGCAGATGTGCAGCACTCACACGTGCACGAGCAAGTTAGGTGCTTGAACCCACAGGCGCTGGATGCAAGCAACTTG